CAACTAAATCTGATTGCCTCCAATCACGAGTCTTGAACGCTCACGTAGGAAGATATGACAGGAGTAACCTCTGTGGGAAGAGAATTGAGAACGGTCTGATTTTCCGTAAACAGTGCACTTGAAATGCATGAGCCCGGTCTGATATGCTTCACACAGTTGCACGTGAAATGCATGAGCCCGTGAAACAATCTGATCTGTCATGCATACTTGCACGTGAAAACATGCTCCCGGTCTGATTTGCCGTACACAGTGCACGTGAAATGCATGAACCCGTGAAACAGTCTGATCTGCCATGCATAGTGCACTTGAAATGCATGAGCCCGGTATGATATGCTTCACACAGTGCACGTGAACTGCATGAGCCCGGTCTGATCTACCGAAAACAGTGCACGTGAAATACCTTAGCCTGATCTAATATGCTTCACACAGTTGCACGTGAAAGGCATGAGCCCGGCATACCTTGCTTCACACAGTGTACATGAAATGTACGTGCCCCGTCTGATCTGCTATGCACAGCGACATGAGACGGGTTTGATTTAGCATGCAGATCGAACCGGGATTGGAACCATGGATTTCTAACGTGCCCAAGAGACGCTACTCTGTACAGGCAATGGTAGCGCCTTAGAGGTAGGGAAGATAAAAGAACACAACCAATGAGTATGATTTCACTGGATTGCCTACCAACGTATCAGATGTATTGTTTATTCCCCACAATGAACGACTACCATATGATGCATGTGACCGTATGCTCAGATACTAGATTGGCTGATCCAAACTACCGCCATACAGCTGGAATAGGGCTGTCTGCGGCCTTAAACAATAAACAAACAAACAAAGGCATAACCACATTTTAACAGAATATCAGCAATGTGATTTGAGATAATCACTTTTGAACCAAGGGATCTATGCACGTTCGTATTATGCACGTGAAAAAGCATGACTCTTGGCCTATGAACGTAGATATATATATTACGTATATACAATACAGATGCACTAAAATATTTGTAAGTATCGGTCATATGATAGCAATATTATAAATAACCATAATGTACTATTTCTTCCTTGTTATATATTTGATATATGAGTATGTGTATTTGATGAGTAATATTTCAACATGACCAAAATAGTGTACGAATCGAGCTCAGGTTGATGTGACTATGAAATGAGACACTGGATTTCATAAACAGCAAGAGAAGTATATAAATATCGTCTTCGTTTTCACTAACTTCACGATTCTGACACCTACAGGTGTAACGGGACTCCTGCTCGTCAACTGGAATGTGATTTGTTGACATTTAAATGACTGGTATTGTCTGCTCCCTCTGGGCTCAACTACGCTTCTCGTGAAGACGGGCGGGCGAGCTAGGGATGGGGGTGGTGGCTCTAGGCGGGGGATGATGGATGTAGGAGGGGTGTGTTTCGGATTAGGCAGGGAGATAGATAATGTAGGGAGGAACTGTTGGGGACAGGGAGGAGAATGGGTGAGGGTGACGGTTGTAGACAGTGGAGCCGAGGGTGTTCATACAGGGGTTGGGGGGAATGTTTGGGCATGATGGCTTGGGGCAGGGAGACATCTGCTTTCGGGATTTTTGGAATAGGCAGCGGAGGCGGAGTATCTGGTAACGATGGCTTTAGACAGGAGGGTGTGTAAGGAGAGACATTAGGACGATGATGTGTAGGGATAGGCAGATAGGGGGGGTTTTACATTCAGGGATTGGGAGGAGTGTTGGTATATGATGGCTATGAGCTGTAAAGAGGGCGTGTACATAAATGTGTGGGGTGGTCTTTGGGAAAAATGGCTTCAGGCACATAAATGGGAGTGTGTGTGTTTTGGAATAGTCGGGGATTGTGAATCGAAAGGAATTATAGGGATGGAATTCCGTCACTATGGTACCGGGATTAAGTCCGAATTCCTTAACCTAATCCAGACATGGTCAGATAACCGCTGAAATTATTTCCGTGGGTGTGAGTAAATATTCAAACTAATTTCGTTTGTGGAATGATAAAACAAAGTAAGATTATCTGATAGCCAGCAGCCGGTGTTGTGATTAGAGAGTAGATTGCAGTCAGATTGCTTCCGTCTGTCCTAATTGCCCACATCTGAGCCGTTGATTCATGAAAGCCAGGGGCCAATCACCGAGAAAAGTGTTCTAATCAATCGTTCACAGTACTGGGCAGTCTGTGGGTTAAATTTTAACGTCTTAATATTTCCGCTAGCCTTGCTCCAAAGCTGAACTGAATGCTAAGCCCATGGATGTGCAGTAGGTCTATCCTTTAAAAAGGCAAGTCTAGATTAGCAGACAGTACAATCTAGAGACTCTAGTCTGTTATATATATTTTTTAAGAAATTTTCATTTGAACTATTAATTATTACCTTAGAGACTTATGCAAGTCTGTATTTCAGCCATAACGTGAGTGTGAGTGAGTGGGTTTTACACCGCTTTAGCAATATTCCAGCAACATCGTGGCGGGGGACACCAGAAATGAGCTTCACACATTGTACCCATGTGGGGAATCGAACCCGAGTCTTCGGCGTGACGAGCGAACGCTTTAACCACTGGGCTACCCCACCGCCTCTTCAGCCATAGAGCGGTCAGTTCGTTAAGACGGGGTTTCATAAACTGAATAAGAGAATGGGGAGTTTCAAATCAACAGTACTTTGTTACATCACATCCTGACCAAAACATAGTGAATGTATATTGGTTAACGCTGGTTTTAGCAATATTCCAGCCATACTACGACTGCAGACACAACTACACCCACTTTGTACGTTTGTACGGAATCGAACCTGGATCTAGGCGTCAGATGCGGACACTTCCCCCATTAAGCTTTACCTGATCCACCCACCGCGTAGCGTCAATACCTATGTGTGCATGCATTTATGCATGATGTTTCTCAACGAAATTATTATTATTACGACAGATATCGTTTTGTTCATTATTCCTGGTCAGTTTTCACAATAGAGTGGTCTCCAAGGCCTTATTATATAGACCCTCTAGTCATTACCTACCATAGCCAGAAATAAAAGTATCAATTTACCAAACAATTTGGAGTAATGTGCAAGAGAAATCATGCATTGGAAATTTGAGGATGCACTCTGCCGATGATCGTATACATTTCACAGAAGAGGAAAGAATATACCGGTCATTAAAGATCGAAATACGTTTCCCTTTCAGATAACAGAATGCACGTGTATGTCTAAGCCTCCCTCAATTTTATAACATGGAATGAAAACGGCAATATAAAGCGTAAAGCCCGTGGGTTTAAATCTGAATCCTAATTTTGAAAGCATAGTGATATTGAGGCAATCTGAGGACATCCAGATTGGCTTCACTTACATCGTTTGGATTATTACAGGCAGTATTGGGTTAAAGTGAAAGTATTATGGCTCAGGGACTGTTAGACAGGCTATAACTACAGATAGGCTACATCTTTTTTCAAGGCACACCGGGTGTCCCCATGTGGAGCAACGCGTCTGTTACTTCGCCCTACTACATATCTACTGTTAGTATCACACAGGTGGTCAACCAAACAGTTGGTATCGAGCGACGACTGACAGCTTGTGACAATCAACTGTGCAGCCCAAGTCACTCTATAATAGGAAGGTTTTTCAGTACTGATATTATTTCGTCTACCTTCCGACCTATAACTATTGCACACCGGGTGTCCCCATGTGGAGCCACAACGCGTCTGTTACTTCGCCCTACTACATATCTACTGTTAGTATCACACAGTACGGCTATTGGGGCTAGTGAGGTATCACGTCTGCTGCTGTTTGCTGCGTGCGTATTTCCTATCATGTAATATGAGCTCACCTCCACGCATTGACACCTCGTCCATTTAACGGAAGGGTAAATCAAACCAGTTTAACTTCTGTCTACGAAACGCGCCGGTGCAACACCATCACTCCGCGTGCAAACGATGCGATCGAAGTGTATGTGTGTTGTATTTGTTTTAGTCGTTGTCGTGTTTTACGTTCGTAGTTATATCACCCTGGAGGATTCATGTCGATCTGTAACAGTATAGGACATCCTAACTTACATCATTATGTGTTGAAAATGTACATAAAATCATGTTACTTGCCATATTTTCATTGCACTTTAAAATTTCGTCCGTTATATACTCATGCCAATAATGGTTGTCACCCCCTTCCATTTTTTAATTGGAGAGGGGTGTGTGGGTGCGGGGTGAGGTGTGTGGGGGTTGGGGTGGGGAGGGGATGACAACCATTATTGGCATGAGTATATATTTATTGATCTTAATCTCAGATTCATATGCCAAATTACAAAGGATAAATTCATGTTACGTCTACATTAGGAACCTATTATGTTACGCCGATAAGAGCTGATGCTTGAAGCCAGACATTGCCTCCCCGTAAAGGTATATCCCATCTATGAAGAAGGTAATTGTTTTAAAACTTTTAAAAATCAATATCTACAGGCACGTGTGTTACTTAATGTGATACAATAGAAATCTAGGCGAAATATATTATCCCGTGTTCCATTTACTTTTAGTTTTGACATCAGGTATTCGTACATACAATAACAATTATCGTATTTCCTCTTATAAGCGCCTATTCCCAACTAAGCGCCGGGCCTCTACTTAGCGCCGTTTCTTTGATTATGTTGTATAGTTTTCAAATAAAACTTTGAAAGGAACTTTCAGAAATTGTTTCATCATGTTTTCACTGGTACTAGAGTATAATACGTACGAAAAAATGTTAATGGGCGTTACGTCAAAGTCACGGCGACGGGGAGTTGTAAACAAGTGTTTCAGTGTATGATTTTCTGAATTTCAGCGTCAATGTTTAATTGTTCAAGAAAACAGAGGTAGATAGGAATTGTTTTTTGATGGAGTAAAATTTAATGTATATGTTCAGGAAAATCATGCATTGGTCAACACACTTGTTCGCAGCTTCCCGTCACTAACTTTGACGTAATGCCCACTAACAATTAATCACTCCCAGAAAGCGCAATAGGCGCCGGGTCTCCAATATTTATAAGCGCCGGGTCTGGAAGTCCGTTGAAAAAAAATAAACGTTTGAGGCGCTTATTAGAGGAAATACGGTAAGTTAACTGTACTGATTGACGTGAAGCGTGATGTTACACGTTATTTTGTTCAGGTTGCATTGCTGATGTTAGTGAGGACGATATTGCGTCAGAGCTGATGCAACTTTGTTTTAGCAGAATCGTTTATGTTTGTCGAAATGCCATGTAGATCTACATATATAATCCAAATGGTAGCGATGTAGAGTCTGCCAGGGCCACCAGCTGAATACACGTACGGGTAAGTACTACGAAATTGTTGAATGAAACGAAACCAGTGTTTTAGCGGTGTGTCAATATCATGAAACTGAGAGTTGTCTACCTTTGAACGGCATGTTACTATCTAACCTTGAGAACACTTCAATGATTCTAATCAATTTTAAGGTGACGAGTGAATTTCATATTAGATCTATGTTTAATCCAACTGTTGGATACAACCATAACAAACTGCTCAGGATTTACTCTCATTCAACATGCCATTTGCGATTCGCGATATTTGAATAAATCACCGAACCAGTAATTCATATCCCACATGCTGATTTTGAAGTATTAACTCTTTCAATTTTGAGTATAACAAAGTGCAACTTGTGATATAAAGTAGAGATAAGACTGTAGATGTGCATATGCCTGGTTGGTATTGTCACAGCCTTGTTAACTTTAAGTTTACTTTTAGATCCGCCGCCTATTTGAGGTGCATATTTCATCATCCTGCACCAACTTATGGAAGTGATGAGAATATTGTAGTAACGTTTAAGGTATTCATATGAAATGGGGAGACACCAATGACCGTTGTCTGTATCACAGTCTTACCCTTAGAGGAAATGTGGTTTAGCTGTTGAATGTTGTTTAATACTTTTTCATATAACCCTTGTTTCAGAATCATCACCATGGAAGTTGAGGCTATTCAACAGAAACTGGGAGGCTATGGCTGCTATCAGATGCTTGTGTATACCCTCCTTGGTCTGTTGTACATGAGAGGCGCCTGGCACACGTTTAGCATCATATTTCTGGGTGCAGTCCCTGACCATACCTGCACAATTCCAAACGGAACAGTCGACGATGGTCATCATGTTGTAGCAGGGAAGTGTGATATTACACTTACAGTCTCAAATGGAACATACGCTGTCAATGAGACGGTTGCATGCAGTACCTGGCAGTATGATAACATGCTCAATGGTTCCAGCATTGTAGAAGAGGTATGTTGCATTCAAATGCTTAGAATTGTCATGAAAATGTATGTAGCACACATTTTGGTTATTATAATATTCACTACTTGTCACCATGTTATAGAGGTGATGGTGTTGTGATAGTGAGAAATAGTTAACACAAATAATTCAAGTGAAAAATTAAGTAGAGGAGATATCTTTTTAAAAAAGACTATAATCTTACATCTTGTATGTTACTAAAACCATATGCCAGTGGAATATCATTTTTGTGTTTTGTTTTCATCTCAAAGCTCTGGCACACATTTTTAAACGTGAAATTTCAGTATGTTAGCATTTTGTATGTTGTTAAAGAGTTGGATTTCCCATGAAAGGAAATGACAAGAGACCAAACTAAAGCATATAAACGTGCGATGTTTGAGTCAAATAAACTAATAATAGTTAAAGAGCTTTTGGACTAAATCAAGATTTTTGTCAGAGATGTACCTCAAATTGTACCTTGATTTTTGTTGCCTGGCATGGAACTTGTGACCCTTCTTTTCGGGACTATGTGTATATAGATGGTTGGACACTATGATTGTAGAACTTGATCTTTCATTTACCTAGTGACACTAAATGTCTGCAGCAATGATTTAAAAAACTCTCACCTTGATTGCATATCTTCCTTTTTACATGTTAAATCCAATGTATTAATTCATGAGACAAGACAAGACATTATCCGTCATACAAAAGCTTCAGTTAACTGTTGTAATGTGTGCTATATTAGTTCATTACAAATGGACTAAATGGTTTTCTTTTTTTTCCTGCTGGGATGTTCTTACATCATGCACATTGACGTAATGAATCAGTGTGGATGTTTTCAAATGTTTGCTGCTACAAGCTGTGATGTACAGTGTGTAAGCCTCTGAGTGACCTGCTGTACTATGGCTGATGCAATGTACCATGTGTGTTATTGTTGTGATGAAACTTAAGGAAGTGTGTTTTGAAGACATACAGAACTTATTACTTACACATTGTAACTAGAGCTAATGTAGGTAATACTTACACTATACATTGTGACTTAACCTAATGAAGTGTGAAGTGTTGTGACTAGACCTAATATTCCTTAAACTATACATTGTGACTTAACCTAATGAAGTGTGAAGTGTTGTGACTAGACCTAATATTCCTTACACTATGCATTGTGACCTGACCTAGTGAAGTGTGAAGTGTTGTGACTGGGCCTAATATTCCTTGCGCTATGCAACTGACTAGACCTAATGAAGGTATCCATACACTATGCATTATGACTTGACCTATCAAAGTACAGAGTGACTAGACCTAATGAAGGTATCCATACACTATGCATTATGACTTGACCTATCAAAGTACAGAGTGACTAGACCTAATGAAGGTATCCATACACTATGCATTATGACTTGACCTATCAAAGTACAGAGTGACTAGACCTAATGAAGGTATCCATACACTATGCATTATGACTTGACCTATCAAAGTACAGAGTGCCTAGACCTAATGAAGGTATCCATACACTATGCATTATGACTTGACCTATCAAAGTACAGAGTGCCTAGACCTAATGAAGGTATCCATACACTATGCATTGTGACTTGACCAGAGTACAGAGTGCCTAGACCTAATGAAGGTATCCATACACTATGCATTATGACTTGACCTATCAAAGTACAGAGTGCCTAGACCTAATGAAGGTATCCATACACTATGCATTATGACTTGACCTATCAAAGTACAGAGTGCCTAGACCTAATGAAGGTATCCATACACTATGCATTGTGACTTGACCAGAGTACAGAGTAGTGTTTCCCCCTGGATCCCAAAAGAGCAGGGCAACAGAATTTCAAAAGGGGCGCCCTTATTCCAAACAGGATATGTAATGATAGATTTCCAAGTATTAACTTAAGAATCAGATATGCATATGATTCTTAAAGGCTCAAAGAGCACAGTTATTTTACTAAACTTCTACATAAAATAGAAAGTAAAAACAACCACATATATATATGACTGTATTACAAATAAGGGCAGGGCACCAAGTAAAAAGGCCAAGGTGTCAAGTGAAAATGCAGGGTGCTGTGTGATGCTACAACTGCCAGGGGGAAACACTACAGAGTGTTGTGACTAATCCCAATGAAGGTATTCTTAGACTATGCATTGTGACTTACCTAAATGAAGTGACATTGTGGTGTTCTTGTTTGAGACTTTGGAATGTTTGCTTCCAGTGGGACCTGGTGTGTGACAGGAATTACCTGGTGGAACTGTCTACAACCATCTACATGATTGGCACAGCATCAGGAGCAGTGATCCTCACTCCGTTTTCTGACCGATTTGGCAGAAAGATTCTCCTCCTGACCTGTCTCGGTATTCAAGCTGTCATCGGCTTTGCTGTTGCATTTGTACAGAACTATGTTGCTTTTACACTGTTGCGAGCCGTGGTGGGATTTCTCAATATGGTAAACATGAAACTTGATCTGGAGTACATGTCGTCATGTCACAATCACCATTTTAACCAGTTATGCATCTATTGATACCTCGTCTTCATCAAGCTCTGACAAAACCCCAATGTAGGACACAAAGGCTCAACACTGAAGGAACTTTTGACTGTCCAGTCAAAATGGATGATGCCTTGCTTTTTAATCAATCAGGTGTCAACTTACCAATATTATTGAATTTCATTGTCAATTTGGTTGCTTTGGACACTGAAAGCGTGGTGTGACCTTATATGGATGCTTTATCTGATCATAGAATAGAAGGAAAGAGATACTGATTCAGAGTAAAGATGACAATTAAAGGGGCATTATTATTTCGTATTATTGTAAAAACCAACTATTATGGAACAGACCCTGAAAACATCACACCCCAACGCACCACACCACCTGACATGCACACCAGCCTCCCATGTGATCATCCAGCGATTGTCACTCTCTCCATTCTTAACATATGGACTGTCTTTAGACAAGCAAGAATAATACAACTGCCCACCACCTTCCAACAGTTTCAAGCTCAGTTGGAGTCAGGGTAAGGAAAACTATTATTTTATACTTATCCTGATTTATATGCCAAAGTATCCCCCTAGTTGTATATTACAAAAATGGAGAGTGTAACAGTCACTGGTTGATCACGTGGGAGGCTGGCATCCATGTGCTGTGGTTTGATGCATTCAGGTGAGATGTTTTACCCGTTCTTGTGGAGCATAACTTGTTTTCTCAATTTAAAGGAAGAGAGAAGCAAATAGTATGATTCAGGATAAGTATAAAATAATATTTTTTCTCAAAACATACATTTCTGGCAAAATTAGATTTCCTATGTGTCTGAAAATAAAGCTTTTCTCTGAGTTTGTAAAATATTTTCTGTCCAAGACTAAATATCTACAGCTATTAGTACCAGAATACAGTACTTTCTTTGTTATTTTCAGTGTAAGTTGTACCAAATGTCTATTGATTTCACTGTACATGCGTTGTCACCCCCATGTTCTTGTTTGCAGGGCATAGCACTGAGTGCATATGTAATGATGACAGAGGTGTTTCCCGCTTTGCACCGCACTCTTCCGTCCATCGCCATGCAGATCTTTTGGGCTGTCGGGGTCATGTTGCTGTCTTTGTTTGCGTACCTTGTGCGAGACTGGCGCAAACTGGAGATGCTGGTGTCCCTGCCTAATATGTTGGCCATTGTCTATATATGGTAATAACTGTGATTTTGTATCTGTGTCAGTGAAATAGATGCTTGCCTGCTGACCTAAGGGACTGATCACAATTTATGGCTGGCTAGGGAGGTGATGATTTTTGTTGTTGTTGTTGTTTTTGGTTTTTTTAATTTTGTTTTTGGGGGTTGTGTGTGGGTTTTTTTGGGGGGTCACTCACCCATTTTGTTTTGGGTAGGTGGGGGGCACATGTACAAGAGAGGATCAGCAATTTGGTGCATATGAATATTTAAAAATTATGCTCAAAAATGGGTGGGTAGGGGGAGGGGCATTGATTTTGTACATGATATGCAGGGGGGGGGAAAGTTTACTTCCTGTTGTACATACGTTTTAGGGAGGTCATTCACATTGTACACGCTTCTGCATAAAATCATCATCAGCCCCCGCTTGCCATGAATTATGAATGGTCCCTAATAAGTACAATTTATTCCCCCCAAGAATAGTAGTGTTGGCCATAATGAATGATCGTTATGTTTCATGCCTTCCATGTCACTACAAAACACCATGATTCTCATGATTGTCCTGGAGTATCTAGGGATGAAGACAGTTGTGCTCTTGTTGCCTGACTTAGTTGACACATGTCATTGTATCTGAGTTGCGTTGATGGATGCTCATGCCGTTGATCACTTGATTGTCTGCTCACGACTCGATTATTTTCAGACCACTGCCATATACAAGTACTGTTGCTATGTGTTAAGCAACAAACCTGCCAACAAGTAGAGAATCATGAAGGGATCATGACCCATTATTGATCAAGTCGTCTCAAGCATTCATTTTTTACTACACACCTCTGTTGTCCTCTTTAGTTCATTTTTGTTATTAACACAGTGTATAGTAGTACATGCCACCATTTGGGATTGTTTTTGCTTGTTTATTAAATCAACACATCTGAACTTTTAATATTTCCACTTAGGTGTCTCCCAGAATCTCTCCCGTGGTTATTATCTCAGAAGAAAATAAGACAAGCCAAAGCTGTGATTAGATGGGCAAGCAAGTTAAATAGACTTCCATCCAACCTGGATGTGTTGCTTGACGCCCCCAGTTCCTCAGCTGGTCATAATGGGCATGTTCTGGTTGATGGGGAGGGTGAGACTCAAGCCTTAACTCTGCAGGATCCTCAGGAGTCGAGTGCAATCAGTGCTGGCAACAATAAAGCTCAGCCTGGAATTCTAGATCTGGTGAAGACGACACGAATACGACTTTATTCAATACTGCTGTGGTTTTTATTGTAAGTATCAGTTCAGTTACCAACACATATCTTTCTGAATTTTTTCCTGCTTTCTACTATAAGATTGAAGAAAATCAATATTGATGTCTTATATCGGAAAATGGTTTCAAGGAATTATCTTGGAAGCTCATCAATTTTCTATGATAATGAATAGTTGTTATTTATGCAATGTTTTCTCAATAAAATTACAGAAGAAGTCTGTTAGCATGTTGTTTGACTGTTTGTTTTCCTAATATACACACCTTTTGAGTTATTTTCTCTTTTTTTTCAGTTTTGTGAACAGTTTAAGTTATTTTGGGTTGTCCTTCAATACTCCGAATCTCCATGGCAACCCATACCTCAACCTGTGTCTGATGGGAGCTGTTGAGATCCCAGCCTATGTTATATGCATGCTGGTCATTTATTGGTAAGTGCATGTGACCATTCCAATGAAAGTGTTATGAACATATATCTTCAAATTGTTTGCTCATTAAATCCATTGCATTAATTCTTACATGACAAAGTAAATATTTATTATGTTGAGTTCTATAATGTGCTGAAGGATGTGTGTGTTAGACTGTGTGTGACCACAAAATTCAAATCTGAATATTATACATTGCCTCAATTATTTCTAAAAAATTCAGTTGAGCTTTGTGGCTGTGGTTCTGAAAATCTCTATAGTCCGTGACATTGATAAATACAAATGTATATGAGAAGACATATTGTGTGTTCTATCATCAGGTGTACATTCACAGTGCATCAGTACATTAATTAAATCTGTGATATATATAATATACGGTTCAAGCCCGGGAAGTCGACAAATGAAGATTTACCACCCAAAATTAGTGTCGACTCTGCGGGCATCGCGGACTATTGTTGCGCTTGGCTGACTTAATCTCATAGGCAAAAAGTGAACACAACATGGATTAGCACTGGTTTAAACATTCAATAGAATCTGAATATGCGAAATGTTTCAAACAAATATAAAGCATACAACGAGCATGATCAACACGTGTAAAATCGATAAATCATTCTTTCATTGAAAACTAGCATTGATACAGCTAAACAAGCATTTAGGTACCCACACAGTCTGCAATGTCTATCCCAGGTGAAGGAGTTCTGAGACGTGATCTGTGTAGTCCATTTCACAGTCTCTGGGCAATCAAGTCATCCTTCAGAGATCTGATTTTCATGTCAGTTTGCCGATACTTCCTCTTCCTAACACGTCCTCTGCCATGTCCTTGGATCTGCTGGATCTTAACCTCAGCCACTGACTGTTCTTTCTGAATGAGACGTATGAGTTCATAGATGTTCGGATGGGTTTTCTTTGCAAATTTGTTTATTTCATGGTGCCAGCCTTCAAGATTGTTGTTGGTACAATGTCCATCATTGCCAAAGTGGTTCCACATGGACAGTGGCCAAGAGCTTTCGATCCAGGTTGACCCGACATAGTCCATCAGCTGTGTTGCCTTTTCACCTTGAGCATTACTGATGGCGTCTACCCAACATCTTCAACTTTGTCCTCGGGCACAAGGGGAAGTGCAGCCGCTCATCTCACAAGCTTGGTTACATCCTTATCGTGTTTGTATTCAGTTGCTAGTAATAGTAATATTAATAGTCCGCTTATATGGCACTCATATCCAGGCACATTGCCTGCTCACGGCGCTACGTACATTACTATCCCCGGTTATAGGACACTATCGTACTTTCCGATACTTTTTCAACTCCCTGGGGAGCATACAGCCATGCTGCCTGTTAGGCGCAATGAACTTAACACTCACATTGCCAGCACAGCCTCACAGGTACCCATTTTACAGCTGGGTGAACTGGGACAATGTGGATCTAAGTATCTTGTCCAATGATACTACGCAAATGTGCCCACCTCGGGACCCGAACCTAGGTGCCTCCACCGGGGATCAAACCCGGGCCTTCAGCATGATAGGCAGACCCCTTACCACTGCACTACTGTGCTCCACTGCTAGTCCGATCTTTTGGACACGATGCCATATACACTGTGTGTAGTGGAAAAAACAACCACGTTTCTGGGTTCCAGGGAAGACAGCAGCAACAGCATTGTGTGACACACGCTCAAAGTCCATCTGGAAAGTTGTTGGTACCAGCTGATGTCCTAGGTTCGCCGAGGTCTGCTTCAGATAGGTAAACATCCGTGTGTATGAGTCCTCGGTTCTGTCTGACATGAGTCCATACATGAGTGGCAACATATGTTCTTGGAATTCAGCATGGATGGAATATATCTGGTCGAAGAGCCTAGGGCATGTTGAGAAAGTCCCGTCAGCAAATAGGACGTCAGCATCACTTAGCAGTTATAGAGTCTTGTCAGTGGTGAATATGAAGATAGGAGACTGTCCCTCCAGTCGATGTAAGAATCTTTCCCCTGCCTCTGTCCTGGTCCACTGGTCCTGTAGGTCTGGGACAGTCTTGGTAGTGTGTCTCTGGCGGTACATACTCGTCCTCATGGCATCGTATGTGGGAATCAGTCTCAGAAGGGCGTCAGGTGCTACATCTGGGTTTCTCCGCAACTTGGCAATTTCATCTTGGTAGATCTGAGGAATGGGGGTTGTAGCGTCAGATCTGGCCTGATCGTGGAGCTTGGCTTTGAATGCATCAACTTCAGTAACGTAGTCTGGGGCACGGTGGTTGTGACCATTGCCAACAGCGTTGACCATGCAGTCCACTGTCATGACATGGCACTGCACCTGGGCTGTGTATATTTCCAGTATGTCTTCTCTGCCCTCCTTCTGTTAACTTTGAACTTGTATCCCTGATGATAGAAGGCTGTCTATAATTGTCACACGTACCAAAGCATTCGTCATGATAGGATGAATTCATTCGTCCTTTCATTCGTTCATTCTTTGGAGATGTAACAAGCACTACCAGCATAGCCGATTTCGCACTTGGTGATAAATTCATTCTGCAGCTGACTTTTTCACCAACGTTACTAATTGCTTTAACTCAATAACCAATTTACTAAAACAATCCAAAGTCATGAGATTTGAGCAAAGGATTATCATTGACTTTGTTCTTTTGTTCTTAAGATTGATATCTCAACACTAATGATATACTCACTGGAGTATATCATTTACTCTCAAAACATCACTACTTAATATATAAACACTACCCGACAAAACCTAAGTCAACAAAAGCAGTACAGCACCTGTAGAACCTGTAAGTTCACAAGCAATTACTCTCAAAACGTCATATATGGCATATACCTCATCTCAGGCCCTTGTTTCAATGAAGGGAGTCTGATGTATTTTGTAAGTACCGGGGTACCTCATAGCAGATTTATGCATAGTAGGACCCTGTTTTTAGGTATTCTCTTAAACAGATTCATACTGAAGCTAATTGTTGCAATAAATATGCCAATGATAATAATTCCAAAGACTGTTTATTGAATCATCAACACAACAACATCTGTAGACAACAGTGTTGTAATAATGCACCACAAACAATGGCCATTCTCTTATCAACAGTAGAAACAAATTACTGTTTGTCAGTCAGGTGCCATGCAATTTATATGTTCATGCAAGACCAAGACAGCAGAGTTTATGTTTTGTGATAGTGATGAGGTAATGATGTGATGTATCATTGATACTGTTGCCAGGATGGGACGTCGAGTGCCAGTGTGTGTGTTTCTGTTAATCTGTGGAGTGACCAACATAGCGGCCATCTTTGTTCCAGCTGAAGCAGGTATGTCTGTCTACAAGGAAAGATGGCATTTACATAGTTTCTTGCAGTACGTGATTTTATTGATAAGATAGAGACATACAGATAGAGGGCCATGACAGCACTTTACCTACATGTAGTGGGACAGTTTGCTGATAATGTGCACTCACTAGTTCTCAATCTGGTGCATACATTTCACTTTCCGACCTACCAAGCATAGGAGTCTTTGTAATAGGGATGCAATGAATACACCATGAGGTGAATATGATATGTTTTTCGAATATATAGTAATGAATACAAATATGAATTCATGAACACTTTATGTTTAATATCAAGCAATCAAAATAACAAACATGCCATGTAATTGCTTAAGTCGAAACATTTAAATGATATTTTCTTTGAAGCCCAAAACGCAATACATCATAAACAATGCTGCTTATAGCCAAATGACAGTCCCATACAGGAGCTTGACAAAGAATATTTTGACTATGTTCCACATTATTAACATAGACTTACAACTGTAGTGGCTTTGTACAAAGGCACCCTGGTGTATATAACATTTTCGTGTATAAATCATACATTCACTGGCCCAGGGCCTTGAGCTGTGTCCATGTTGTTTTCAGAGAGTGGGGCCAATCTATCCCATCTGAAGCTGGCTTTGGTGATGATAGGGAAGTTTGGCATTACTGGCTCCTACTCCACGATCTACCTGCTTGCAGCCGAAACATTCCCTACCTCTGTCAGGTAGGTTGTAGCAAGGAAAATGCTTAATTTAACTAGTCATGCACTGAAACGGAAACTGAATGATAACAACAGCCTCTTGTGTACCGGCCACAAAGTATGTGGTACATTTGAAACGATGAATTTAATTCATATTTATTTTTATAAACCTACAGCCACTTTTGCCTATAATGAAGTAGGGATTGCTGTCTCATAGTAACCTTGTAAAAGGTGTTTCTTTCTGAAATAAGATCTACTGATAGGTTTTAAATTTTAACTGGCAGACCTTGGTTATAAACTGCCTTTTACACTCTTCCAGAAAGGAAAAGCTTTCACAAAGTTTGAAACAATTTACTGTGTTCATTTAGAAGTGCATTCATTCATTTAATTTTGACTGATACACGGATGAGATTTAGTCACATGTTCTGTAAATATAATGGCAATACTGATTGTCCTGTTACAAAACATGTTCGTCAATGAGGGCGGCATTCTTATCAGTACCTGGTGTCACCACAGTGTGCTGTTGTCACTGCTCTACACCTCCTTGGAACTGACTGAATACGATTCTGTCCTGTGGAATTCTTGAAAATTGAAATAGGTGACGCTAGAAGATTTGGGTCCCTATACAGATTTCCAGTCAGATTCCCTGAACCACGACCAAATCAGATCTTCATGTGTAGGTTATGACTCCCCAGCCATCATGCTTCCCCAGCCATCATGCTTCCACCACTGAATCTGTTCATGTGTGTTACACATTCATTACACTTTGACCTGCTGTCTTCCAGACTTGCCACCAGTTTCTCAGGGTCCATACCTGTATGGTGTTGCTCCATCACATACTTTGGAGTTGATGCAAACACCTCAATCCAGGGACAAATTTGTTGCCACTGTTCTACTGGTCAAGAGTTTCACTTCAATAAACATATTACACATTTATAACAATAGTACATATACATGGTTTTGTTTTGGAATTTTTGCAAGTATTAAATGGGAAATTTGCACTGTTGTGAGTCTGTTTGGTCCCCTGCACTGTTGTAAGTCTGTTTGGTCCCCTGAACTGTTGTGAGTCAATTGTGAGTCTGTTTGGTCCCCTGCACTGTTGTAAGTCTGTTTGGTCCCCTGCACTGTTGTGAGTCAGTTGTGAGTCTGGTCCCCTGCACTGTTGTGAGTCTGTTTGATCCCCTGCACTGTTGTGAGTCAGTTGTGAGTCTGGTCCCCTGCACTGTTGTGAGTCAGTTGTGAGTCTGTTTGGTCCCCTGCACTGTTGTGAGTCTGTTTGATCCCCTGCACTGTTGTGAGTCAGTTGTGAGTCTGATCCCCTGCACTGTTGTGAGTGTTTGGTCCCCTGCACTGTTGTGAGTCAGTTGTGAGTCTGGTCCCCTGCACTGTTGTGAGTCAGTTGTGAGTCTGTTTGGTCCCCTGCACTGTTGTGTGTCTGTTTGGTCCCCTGCACTGTTGTGAGTCAATTGTGAGTCTGTTTGGTCCCCTGCACTGTTGTGAGTCTGTTTGGCCCCCTGCACTGTTGTGAGTCAGTTGTGAGTGTGTTTGGTCCCCTGAACTGTTGTGTGTCTGTTTGATCCCCTGCACTGTTGTGAGTCAATTGTGAGTCTGTTTGGTCCCCTGCACTGTTGTGAGTCTGTTTGGTCCCCTGCACTGTTGTGAGTCAATTGTGAATCTGTTTGATCCCCTGCACTGTTGTGAGTCTGTTTGATCCCCTGCACTGTTGTGAGTCAGTTGTGAGTCTGATCCCCTGCACTGTTGTGAGTCTGTTTGGTCCCCTGCACTGTTGTGAGTCAGTTGTGAGTCTGGTCCCCTGCACTGTTGTGAGTCAGTTGTGAGTCTGTTTGGTCCCCTGCACTGTTGTGTGTCTGTTTGGTCCCCTGCACTGTTGTGAGTCAATTGTGAGTCTGTTTGGTCCCCTGCACTGTTGTAAGTCTGTTTGGTCCCCTGCACTGTTGTGAGTCAGTTGTGAGTCTGTTTGATCTCCTGCACTGTTGTGAGTCAGTTGTGAGTCTGTTTGGTCCCCTGCACTGTTGTGTGTCTGTTTGATCCCCTGCACTTTTGTGAGTCAGTTGTGAGTCTGTTTGGTCCCCTGCACTGTTGTGAGTCAGTTGTGAGTCTGTTTGGTCCCCTGCACTGTTGTGAGTCAGTTGTGAGTCTGTTTGGTCCCCTGCATTGTTGTGTGTCTGTTTGATCCCCTGCACTGTTGTGAGTCAATTGTGAGTCTGTTTCGGTCCCCTGCACTGTTGTGAGTCAATTGTGAGTGTGTTTGGTCCCCTGCACTGTTGTAAGTCTGTTTGGTCCCCTGCACTTTTGTGAGTCAGTTGTGAGTCTGTTTGGTCCCCTGCACTGTTGTGAGTCTGTTTGATCCCCTGCACTGTTGTGAGTCTGGCCCCCTGCACTGTTGTGAGTCTGTTTGGTCCCATGCACTGTTGTGAGTCAGTTTGGTCCCCTGCACTGTTGTGAGTCACTGTGTATCTGTTGATTCTGGCATGTTTCTGTTTGATCAGGAATCAAGCGGTGGGAATTGCATCATTCTTTGAGAATATTGGTAGCATTTCTGCTCCTCTCATTGTGTATGTGGTAAGTGGATTGTTTTCATTTTTTACTTCTACATCAATGTTTTGAATTATACTTATTGTGATTTTACATTTGAACCTCACATGACACATTCACTGTCTGTTTGAAGATGAAACATAGACCAGCCCTTTGATCACTTTGCAAGGCCCAAGAAAACACTGTATATCTAAAAGCAATGGCAGAGAAACTATAGTCCGTTTGACTTCATTTGAGACCAATGAATTGCTCACTAACACAAAATCTAATAAATGCAAAAAAATCAAACTTTGCACAGTAACATGAAATCGACAGACCAACTCTGATGATTTGTCTCATAATTGTGGAAACCCGAATAGAAAAGTTGTTTAACAAACGATCATTATTTTGTTGTCATGTTTCGCTATGTCTTACGAGGGAGGACCACTTGCTGGTAGAACAGCCAGGTGTGCAAGTTGTACGTGTGAAATTGAAATTTCACTGCACACTCTTGTTGATTACCTGGCTGTTCTACAGTTAGAAAAATGTTTTGTAAGGCGAATGTGAGAAGTATTTTCTGGATGTTGATGAATTCCCAGATTGAACCCCAGAACCCATTAAGACTTAGGGAGAAGGTGACCATAAGTGGTGCACTTTTGCCCAATCTTTTTGTCTTTTGGACAAGAAAAAATGTTTAACGTTTTGTATTTCGCCATTAACTTATTAAATCAACACTGTGCCTTAGTTCATGGCTTGTCATTGTATGATGCTCATTATCTCAATCACTGGTTTATTTCAGTTTGATAGAAGTGTAGCATACATGTACAGCCAAGCTGGCTCTTTGTATTAGGAAAGTTACAAACCATTTCTGATGGCAATTAAATTCACAGGCCAAGAAGATCCCTGAGGTTCCTTTTGTTCTGTTTGGTGTGCTGACAATCATCGGAGCAGGTTGTGTGTTGTTGCTTCCTGAGACCCGGAACCGACCCCTCCCTGAAACCGTGGAGGAGATCGAGGGCTGGCACAAGAAGCCGACATCTTGACCCGCCACCATATCCTCTAATACAGCATCCTTGATGACAAGAGAATAACCCAACATATCTTTCTAGAGAATATATTTTGATATTGTTTATGTCTAACATATCTAATTATTTCTGTGACTTTGGGGTATTTAAGTGTGTGTCTGAATTGGAGTGCGTCTTGAAGTGTTATGAAGTTACGAGTTAATTTTAATTTTTCAAAATACAATGATTTGAATCATCCTACACTGACAAACAGAAGCTGTGGGAAATTCAGCTACAGTTACATTATCTATATGTTTTTGTCAGAGGCAATATGTGACAATACTCAAGTATTTGGTATTTACACAGCCTTACAAACCTTCTGTGATGTTTCTTCTTAAGTAGGATCATTTTTAAACATTATGACTTTTCTACACAGAAATTCATCAAAACTATGTAAAGTCATCCATTGTTTGACGTTGTATCATTGCTAAATGATGATAACCAGTTTGTGAGAAGAATCACTGCAGTAAAAGCTTCATCCATCGATGGAACACTTTAGGTGTGAAAATGAGTGTTGGTCCAATTCGTTTTATGGATGAATGATTGGGTTTTTTATTTTATGGAAGGATTCAATAATAAAATCTATGTCAACTGGAAGGGATGATTTTTGGTAGGACTGCTATGTTAAGATTATTGATTTTTCCATGCACCGGTTCTTCTTTCAAGTTACCCTGGGAGTGCTTTAAGCAAGTGTAATGAAAAGGTCAAAGGTGAAGGTCATGAGAGAAAAAAAACAACAAAAAAGTTTGTGGTTACACTTTATCAAAAATAGTTTGGTATATTCCTTCTCTGGAATAGTGATTTATTATTAATGTTTTTTTGTTAAGATTAGTTTAAGGTCAAGATCAGAATTCAAATTATTGTGAAACATGATTATATCATTGTCATATTTATGTGCACAGTCTCCTCTATAGGCATGAAGGTTTATGTTTTTGTCTTTCTTGACATTTCATATGTTAATTGCATTTATGTCAAAGGTAAAGGTTACCTCTGATGTACTAAGTAGTTGGAGCATACACAGCACAAAGACAACTGGCATTAGACATGTTAGACAGTATCCTTCAATCATCATATTTCATGTGGACCAAGGGAATTCTTTGTCACATGCTATCGGGTGAAAGGCCATTTTCACCTGATAGCAATCTTTAAGATGGGGCCTGATTAAGATGGGAAGGTTGAGGTCAGCAGTCACGTTATGTCATTGGTACTTTTTGGTATCGTGGTAACCTATATAGACAAGAGTGTTTTTCGTTGCATGTATCTTTACAAATCCTACGAGATGAAAATTTCGTGATGTATCTATCCATGGTCAAGGTCCCATTCTTGAGATTATTGTGAAACCCTTGTATTTTATATTATCTGTTACTTTTGTACTTTCACTTGAACAACCATGAAGCTTATTCAGTCTTGAGAAGTTGTGTTGATGAAGGTCAAGGACTGGGAGTACATGGAACCATAACATGCTGGGAGCTTTGGGGAACTACAGGGATCAGTGAGGGGTTCAGGGCCTTTTGATGCAGGAAGGTGCAAATACCCATATTTTATTATGTCTTCGGATAATAAGATTCCGTGTGATAACAGATGAGATTTCAAAGAATCTTGCTATCGCATTGCTTGTGTTGCAAATGATGTGGCTTTTGATGCTTTTGCAGGAACTTGCAAATACCTATTTTATATTATGTTTTTGTGATAATAAGATTCCGTGTGATAACAGGTGAGATTTCAAGGAATCTTACTATCTCAGTGCTTGTGTTGCAAATGATGTGGACTTGTTCCAGGGAAACGTGAAGTATTATTTTAGAGATTTGTTATGAACATGTATAATAATGAAAGAGAAGATCTGTATGTTTTGTTGATGTGAATTTGCTTTAAGTTTGATTCCATATTAAGATCTTTTATCATGAATATCAGTGAGTCTGGTCGATGCACTGGATCTGAGAGTGTTGTCTGTGAGAATGTGCTGATTTAAGAGTTGAACATTTACTCTGTTTTATGGGGACTATAATACTTGGTGTGAAGTGATTTGCCTCTAAGCTGTGCCAACATAGCTAAACATCTACTAAATATGCCAGTATTAATTTCCACCCACCGTCAGGATGCTGCTGGTAAACTTTTGTGCTCACTACAAACAGCGTCTTCACCGTCAAATATTTTACATAAATTTTGTGTCAATATGTAGCATGACAGTCAGGAAGATTAAAGTCGAATCATTAAATGAATTAGCACCAGCATGAAAAGGGACTGTATAGGTTTTGTTGGAATTTGACCTGCTACCAGTGACGTTCACACAATGATAGCTGACGTTAGATTTTGTTCTTCCATCTTCCATGTACTTCTTCCCAATGTCAAAAAGGTAATGCTTGTGGTTACTCTTTTTTTAAAAATATTAATGCAGTTAGCTTTAAACCAGGTAAATACCATCTCTAGGAAGGGGCTCTCCATTGGAAAGGTTTTGTGAGGTCTGTTTCAAAGGTCAAGGTCAAGATTCATCTGCGTGTAACATATGCTTGCCCCAGTATGACAATTTCTGAGGTTGCTTAACGCCACAGCCATGTTTCTGCAGAAGACGTCCGTCAAATGTCAGTTGCATATACATCAACTATCATGGACGGTCACCTTTGAGGAATTTTTCAACAGTAGTTGTATAATATTTTCATGTCAATCTGACATGAGTATCAATAACAGAGAATATCCTAGATTGCTCTTATTCCATGTGGAGCTGGGGAATTCTTTTTGTTCCCATACACAAAGAATATCGAAGGTGTTGATCACGAAATAGAAAAATCTCCGTCAAAGGTTCTAATAGTATTAATGCAACTATCATTAAAATTGGTGTTTACTTTCTAGAGGCTGGGGCTCTGCTTCAAAGTTGTTGAATTTAAATCAGGCAAAGGTTAAGGTCAGAATTCAAATGTTTTTGGTAAACATGATTATGGCCTTACCAGTTTGTGTGGAATGGTAACATCTGTGTGGGCATAAATTTGATGTTTGTATGTGTCTTGGTGAATCCTGTCTATTGTTGGTGATATGTCTATCAAAGGTCAAGGTTATTGCAAAACATGGTTGCATCATTTATTGCCAGTTAATATGTTTTAATTGTACAGTTACCAGAGGGTGTGCAATTGTTTGATCTTGATGATATGAAGGTCTTGATTGAGGTGAAGGTCTGGAAGTATATGGTGGTGCATTTTGACTTTGTTTTGAGAAAATAGACAATTGTCACAAGCGAAACACAATGGACAGTGACCATGTTGTGTCTGTCATTTGGGCTTTTTGATAAACTCTGATAGATGTCTGTAATATTTGCGTAAGAAAAAAGTCCAGCAGACATCCTACAGCTTTTTACACAGGCAATAACTTGATGACTTTTCACACTCACATGAAACAAAACTCACTCTCTTATATGTATTGCTTCAAGTTTATGTTGTTGAATCAAAATTTATGATCTTTTTCATATCTGCTTGTTTGTTGAACGACATTTAATGTCTTGACATCTATATATGTTTATTATTTTTAGGGTACCAGAACCGAAAGTTCACTTGACGTCATATCATGACACTTTGACAGTGATGTAGGACCCAATTCTTTAATGATCTCAGCAAAGCTGTTATGAATATGGAGAATTCAGTTGCATCATATATTTTGTATTTATTGTTTGATTTATTGTGCCATAAAAATATCAATATGAAGGTGAGCTACAAAGCATCATGAATCTATTTTGTTTTGCATATTCTATTGTTTCTTGACCCATAGAAGCTTGCAACTGTTTGTTTTATTTTGTTATTCTTATTTTACTTCTTTGGAGTTCATAAATCTCTTACTTTACACAATGGTATATTGATCGTCACTCAATCCCCTCTTCACTTTTCTTAACGCACATACATGTAATCCTTCTCCAGTCTATCCTCTGAACTATATACAGGTTGCATATTACGCATGCAAGCAGCAAAGCTTGTCTCATACCTTGTAAGCTCTTAGCCACTTGGGCATATAAAGGCTTTTGTGAAAGCTTGGCCAATTAAATAGGAAAAAAACTATGTTAAAAGCAAACAACAACAAAAAAAAACAGAAAAAGACCCACTCACTGTTATGTATTTGATTCCCTCCTATATTTTGTCCTGTTTATGAAATTATCAATACCTATTCATTTTACATCAGAACATTCACGGATAATGCTACCATTGATGCATGTGTCTATTCCCTGTTACAAGGACAATCAGTGGTATGGCTGGGATTTCATGAACTAGGGGGCTGTTAGCAGCCAACTGCAAATATGGTATTTGTTTTGAGCAAAAAAATAATTTCATTCTAGTACAGTACCCTACATTTATAACAAACACATTTATTACGATCTGACGGATGTGACAAACTGGGTGTTTTTTGTTCCAACGAATTGAAATGTGTTGAACTATGATCATAACAAACTAATATCAGTGGTCCCTTTGTGTTTAATATATCTGTAGTATGCTGTATTTATTTCTTGACATTCCTGACTGTGTGATACTATTGGATATCATCTTTCATAACATATCAGTGTTTAGATCTGTATGCCTTGACTTGTTGGGTCTCAGGGTTAAAGTGTGTGTGTATACATTGTGCATACCATCAATTATATGAATTGTGACTTGTTTATATGACAGTATGTATTTCACATAAAGGCACTCATTGTATCTGAATGAAATGTTAAAGGGGGCTTATTGTATCTCAGTTGCATGTTAAAGGGCATTCATTTTCATTGTTTATCTGTTGACAGCATCCATCAACATCTCTTGTGTGCCAAAATGATCTGCCCAGTCAGCAGTTTGTCAATCAGTCATGTTTTCAAACAGATGTGGCATTATCTTTTATATTTCTGTTTAACATTACATGCAACAGTTTTCCAGCTGTATGGAAATATTCAAGCCTGGACCAGACAATCAAGTCATTGACATCATAAGCATTGATCTGTGTAGTTGGGATACAATGACATGCATAACTTAAGTCAGGGAGTCTGACCACCTGATCCTGTTGAAGGGGAGGAGGAACATATGGTCAGAGGGGATGAGGAACACATGGTCAAAGGGGATGAGGAATAGATAGTCAAATGGGATGAGGAACATGTGGTCAAAGGGGATGAGGAACATGTGGTCAAAGGGGATGAGGAACATGTGGTCAAAGGGGATGAGGAACATGTGGTCAAAGGGGATGAGAAACAGATGGTTAAAGGGGATGAGGAACATATGGTCAGAGGGGATGAGGAACATGTGGTCAAAAGGGATGAGAAACAGATGGTTAAAGGGGAAGATGAACATATGGTTAAAGGGGATGAGGAACATGTGGTCAAAGGGGATGAGAAACAGATGGTTAAAGGGGATGAGGAACATATGGTCAAATGGGATGAGGAACATGTGGTCAAAGGGGATGAGAAACAGATGGTTAAAGGGGATGAGAAACATATGGTCAGAGGGGATGAGGAACATGTGGTTAAAGGGGATGAGGAACATATGGTCAGAGGGGATGAGGAACATGTGGTCAAAGGGGATGAGAAACAGATGGTTAAAGGGGATGAGGAACATGTGGTCAAAGGGGATGAGGAACATATGGTCAGAGGGGATGAGGAACATATGCCAAATGGGATGAGGAACATGTGGTCAAAGGGGATGAGGAACATGGTCAGAGGGGATGAGGAACATATGGTCAGAGGGGATGAGGAACATGGTCAAATGGGATGAGGAACATGTGGTCAAAGGGGATGAGAAACATGGTTAAAGGGGATGAGGAACATATGGTCAGAGGGGATGAGGAACATGTGGTCAAAGGGGATGAGGAACATATGGTCAAATAGGATGAGGAACATATGGTCAAAGGGGATGAGAAACAGATGGTTAAAGGGGATGAGGAACATATGGTCAGAGGGGATGAGGAACATGGTCAAATAGGACGAGGAACATATGGTCAGAGGGGATGAGGAACATGTGGTCAAAGGGGATGAGAAACATGGTTAAAGAGGATGAGGAACATATGGTCAAATGGGATGAGGAACATGTGGTCAAAGGGGATGAGGAACATGGTCAAATGGGATGAGAAACTGATGGTTAAAGGGGATAAGGAACATATGGTCAGAGGGGATGAGGAATAGATAGTCAAAAGGGATGAGGAACATGTTGTCAGAGGGGATGAGAAACATGGTTAAAGGGGATGAGAAACATATGGTTAAAGGGGATGAGAAACTGATGGTTAAAGGGGATGAGGAACATATGGTCAGAGGGGATGAGGGATGGATAGTCAAAGGGGATGAGGAAAAATGTGGTCAAAGGGGATGAGAAACAGATGGTTAAAGGGGATGAGGAACATATGGTCAAAGGGGACGAGGAATATATGAGGGGATGAGGAATAGATAGTCAAAGGGGATGAGGAACATGTCAAATAGGGTGAGGAACATATGGTGAGGAGGACAATATGGTCAAATAGAGGATGAGGAACATATGGTCAAATAGGGTGAGGACATATGAGTCAAAGGGATGGGAACATGGTCAAATAGGTATGAGGAACATATGGTCAAAGGGATGAGGAACATGTGGTCAAATAGGATGAGGAACATGGTCAAAGGGGATGAGGAACATGGTCAAAGGGATTAGGAACATGGTTAAAGGGACAAGGACAATATGGTCAAAGGGGATGAGGAACATGGTCAAATAGTGTGAGGAACATGGTCAAAGGGATGAGGAACATGGTCAAAGGGTATGAGGAACATATGGTCAAAGGGATGAGGAACATGTGGTCAAATAGGATGAGGAACATGGTCAAAGGGGATGAGGAACATGGTCAAAGGGATGAGGAACATGGTTAAAGGGATGGAGGAATAGGATGAGGAACATGGTCAAAGGGGATGAGAACATATGGTCAAAGGGAAAGGGAGGAGGAACATGGTCAAAGAACATATGTCAAATAGGAACATATGGTCAAAGAAGGGGATGAGGAACATATGGTCAAAGGGATGAGGAACATGGTCAAATAGGGATGAGAACATGGTCAAAGGGGATGAGGAACATGGTCAAAGGGATGAGGAACATGGTTAAAGGGACAAGGACAATATGGTCAAAGGGGATGAGGAACATGTGGTCAAATAGGGTGGGGAACATGGTCAAAGGGGATGAGGAACATGGTCAAAGGGTATGAGGAACATATGGTCAAAGGGATGAGGAACATGTGGTCAAAGGGGATGAGGAACATGGTCAAAGGGATGGGAACATGGTTAAAGGGACAAGGACAATATGGTCAAAGGGGATGAGGAACATGTGGTCAAATAGGGTGAGGAACATGGTCAAAGGGGATGAGGAACATGGTCAAAGGGGATGAGGAACATGGTCAAAGGGGATGAGGAACATGTGGTCAAATAGGGTGAGGGGCATGCCAAGGGGATGAGGAACATATGAGGGGATGAGGAACATATGGTCAAAGGGGATGAGGAACATGGTCAAAGGGGATGAGGAACATGTGGTCAAATAGGGTGAGGAACATATGGTCAAAGGAGATGAGGGACAGATGGTTAAATGTAATGAGGAAAAGGTGGTTAAAGCAACATAGAACAGATGGTTAAATGCAATTAGGAACTGTTCAACATGATGTCAAAGGGGATGAGGAACTTATGTTTCAGGGGATTAATGCAGGTAAAGAAAATAGTACTGAAAACAGCTTGTTGAAAGGGGTTGGTGCCAAAAGAAGTTTTGACTTCAAGTGTACTGACTGGATGGATGAAAGGAGTTAGGGTTGCTGATGGCATCAAGTGTCTTGGGTTGGGACCTGGTGGTTGAACCTAAGTGAAACAGGTGGTTGGTGGGGATTAAAAGGATAAGGAGCAGGGATGAAGGGAGTTTAAAACAGGTGGTTGGTTAGGGATTAAAGGGATAAGGAACAGTGATGAAGGGAGTTTGAAACAGGTGGTTGGTTGGTGATTAAAGGGATAAGGAGCAGTGATGAAGGGAGTTTGAAACAGGTGGTTGGTTGGTGATTAAAGGGATAAGGAGCAGGGATGAAGGGTGTTTGAAACAGGTGGTTGGTTAGGGATTAAAGGGATAAGGAGCAGTGATGAAGGAAGTTTGAAACAGGTGGTTGGTTGGTGATTAAAGGGATAAGGAACAGTGATGAAGGGTGTTTGAAACAGGTGGTTGGTTGGGGATTAAAGGGATAAGGAGCAGAGATGAAGGGTGTTTGAAACAGGTGGTTGGTTAGGATTAAAGGGATAAGGAGCAGGGATGAAGGGTGTTTGAAACAGGTGGTTGGTTAGGATTAAAGGGATAAGGTGCAGGGATAAAGGGAGTTTAAAAACAGGTGGTTGGTTGGGGATGAAAGGGATAAGGAGCAGGGATGAAAGGGATAAGGAGCAGGGATGAAGGGAGTTTGAAACAGGTGGTTGGTTAGGATTAAAGGGATAAGGAGCAGGGATGAAGGGAGTTTGAAACGGGTGGTTGGTTAGGATTAAAGGGATAAGGAGCAGGGATGAAGGGTGTTTGAAACAGGTGGTTGATTAGGATTAAAGGGATAAGGTGCAGGGATAAAGGGAGTTTAAAAACAGGTGGTTGGTTGGGGATGAAAGGGATAAGGAGCAGGGATGAAAGGGATAAGGAGCAGGGATGAAGGGAGTTTGAAACAGGTGGTTGGTTGGTGATTAAAGGGATAAGGAGCAGGGATGAAGGGGGTTTAAAACAGGTGGTTGGTTGGGGATTAAAGGGATAAGGGGCAGGGATGAAGGGAGTTTGAAACAGGTGGTTGGTGGGGATTAAAGGGATAAGGAGCAGGGATGAAGGGAGTTTGAAACAGGTGGTTGGTTGGTGATTAAAGGGATAAGGAGCTGGGATGAAGGGAGTTTGAAACAGGTGGTTGGATGGTGATTAAAGGGATAAGGAGCAGGGATGAAGGGAGTTTAAAACAGGTGGTTGGTGGGGATTAAAGGGATATGGAGCAGGGGTTAAGGGAGTTTGAAACAGGTGGTTGGTGGGGATTAACGGGACAAGCTGAAGGGGTTCAGTAGCAGGGTTTGGAGTGAGTTTAATACAGGCGGTTGGTTAGGATTAAAGGGATAAGGAGCAGCGGTTCAGTAGCAGAGTTTGGAGTGACTTTAATACAGGGGGTTGAAGGGAATGATTAGAGAAATGTAGTTGGGACCCAGCAGAGACTTGCCTCATATTACAAATAACTTTGTTTTTATCACTTCTAGTATGTTTATTTTTGTTCGTGGCTAATCATACTTATGAAATAAATATGTTGAATGTGGGAAATATGTTTTGCACTCTTTTGTTCTCTCATGTCATTTATATATAGTGAATATCAATATATGTCGTCCCTTCTTGTGTGGCCTGGGACGGCAGGGTAGCCTAGTGGTTAAAGCGTTCGTAAACTAGTTACACTGAAGACCGGGGTTTCATTCCTCACATGGGTACAGTGCGTGAAGCCCATTTCTGGTGTCCCCCGCCGTCATGTCGCTGGAATATTGCTAAAAGCGGCGTAAAACTAAACTCACCCACTTACTCTTGTACGGCCTCTGTTATGAACGGCGGTTTGTATTGTCTGAACATGTGCTCAGACAGTACAGCAATGTAGCATGTACTTTGGATTGTATTTTGTTTGTTGTTTAACGCCGCACTCAGCAATATTCCAGCTACATGGCAACGATCTGTAAATAATCAAGTCTGGACCAGACAATCCAGTGATCAACAGCATGAGCATTGATATGGGATACAGTGCCATGCCATCAAGTCAGCGAGCCTGCCGCCCAACCTGTTAGTCGCCGGATTGCTAAAGACATATTCTAACCGGGGTCAGTTTGTATGTAACTGGGCTCAGACGTAAATCTGGTTTTCATCTCCCAGATGAATACAGACATCATCAGTGCAGTTTTCAGTCTTGTAGACGTTTTGTCTGAAACTTCAACCCCAGTGGCATGCTCTGATCAAATATTGCATCTTTGACACAGTGTATGTTACAGCGAAAACAACAATCGTGCGATTCACTTCAATGACTGACTGACTGAGTTTGGTTTTACGCCGCTTTTAGCAATATTCCAGCAACATCACGGCGGGGGTACACCAGAAATGGGCTTCACACATTGTGCCCATGTGGGGATTCGAACCCCGGGTCTTCGGCGTGACGAGCCAACGCTTTAACCATTAGGCTACCCCACCGCCCCTTCACTTCAATGACCTTATGTTTGTGTTTGTGTTTCCACATTTGGGAGAACACCGATTACGACACTAGCACATCCATTATATACTCAACTGTTTTACAGAAGAACAGAATTAGAAATATCACGTTTATTTTCTCGTATGTTATTGAAATGTTTTACAAGTTTGGATGTTTATTTTAAGGGAAGCGACTTCATAATCTGCTTTTCTATCTACAGTAAACTACACTTGTAACAAACAGACGCATGTAACTAACTGTTTTGGGCTAATATATTGCTGTATATTTTATTTGAAATGCGTATAACAAACTAGGGTTATACCAACAAAAATTAGAGGTCCCTTTGAGTTTGTTATAACTGTAGTGCACTGTAGGTGGAACAAATGATCATTTAGACTAACTGTATGATTGGTGAGTACATGAGAAAGCACAAACAATGGATAACAACTTCTGGGCTTCTGCATATAATGAAGTTTAGATGTAGTTTCCTACACCGCAATTGAGAAGGCATGACTTCAACCAGTGAAATGACATATATGATATGTTGTGATCTGCGGACAATAGGTAAGGGATAGCAAGTAGCACACACGTAACTGGATGAACCCAGATATACAGCAAAGATATGCTTACAATGACTACATGTATATCTTACAAGCACACAGTTTATAGACACTAGTTAAAAACTAATTATCTAATGCTGTCAGCATGGTGTTTCATACGTTGTACAAGACTCTCAGACTCGACAGATGACATCAACCTGTGAATAGTTCCTGTCAGTTTTTCGTGTCAAAGGCATGGTTCACCGACCCAGTCATGGACCTGAGATACCCCCTGCCACGCCCCCAACTCTGTACCTCTTTCACAGTTTGGGGTAGGGGGCGCTTGTGAGTTTCTGGCAGTCCGAGCACCAGCAGCCCACCCGCCGCGGTCAGACCACCGAATATGGACAAGGGGAGGTAAGTCTTTGTCTTTGCCTGTGGAACATTCAACTATTATTCATGTTATCTCATATGTTAGAACATTCTTTATTAGATATAATCTGTATCGCTTCACAGATAAGTCGACTTCTTCAGGAGAGAAGTTCCTATTTGAAAGTCTAGGCGTGATGTGAGCTAGATTTATTGGTAGCATTGCTGGCTCAGGTAGTATATTTAGAATCACTTCTACACTTTAAGATTATACTCACCGCTAGGACCATGAATGGTGCTGCCATGCTACCAATGTTTTCAAAAAAGGAACACATTCCCAGAGCGTGGTTCCTGTAAGAGGCATAATCGAACAGTTAATAGAGAGCTGTTGGTTAGAGACATGGCAGTTTACAATCACATGCCACAGGATACCGCCAGTTAGCGTTAAAGTTTGCTGCAGTATGTCACTGGTAAATTAAAATGTGAATAATTCGTGAATCTTGATGTTAATCTAGGCTTATACTTATCCAACATCTCTGAACAGTTTATAGTGTCTTGCAAAAAAATCAGTCTGTGTGAAACCTCGTCCTCTGTATGAACTACGAAAAGTTGGATCATTATTGCACCGTCCGCCCAGATACAGCGCGGTGGATCTCTGTTCAAGACAATGCACAGCATGCATCCCAGTCTTGTATGATTTTAAGTTGCATCTAATAGTCCCATCGTTAAAATCTCCTCCAAATAAAATGTGTGCAGCTGTGAATAGAAATTATGACAACATTCATTGATGAACAAGACAACGGTACCTGACGGACGTGGGGAACATCTCTGAGGCATACAGATACACGGTTGAGTAAGATCCGGTGATGCCGAACTTCCCAATCATCACCAAGGTTGTCTTCAACCAGGATATATCACTTCCGTCAGCTAGAAACATTGCAGCAGAGTGAAAACGATGCGAGACCGCCCTGGTCCTTGACCCTTCACAAATTATAAAGTCTCTGGGTTGATGAGCGTGCCCAGTGGTTAAATCGTTGGAAAGAAAGTCACAAGGCTTGTTGGGGTGAGTGAGTTTAGTTTTTACGCCGCACTCAGAAATATTCCAGCTTTAAAGCAGCGGTCTGTAAATAAATAATCGAATCTGGACCAGACAATCCAGTGATCAACAGCATGAGCATCGATTTACTGGGATTCGATGACATGTGCCAACCACGTCAGCGAGCCTGACCACCCGATCCCGTTAGTCGCCTCTTACGACAAGCATGGGTTGCTGAAGATCAATTCTAATCCGGATATATATATCTTCACAGGCCGAAAGCTTGTTGGGGTTACATCCCCCACCTGTGTATAATGTGTGGAGGCCATGAAGACATGATATGACCTTACTATTGCACAGAGAGTGAAATTCTACCTACTGACTCGCCTACTTATCTTCGTATAATGTACATTGTACATTCGGTTGATCTAAGTCAGTCGTTCAAGGCCGACATACCGGCAGTACTTGGAACAAAGATGGCGCCAATGTTTGAGACGGCGCAGACGAGGAGGAACACACTCATGGGAATTCGCCGGCCGATACTGTGGACAAATGGAACTGTCTGAATTCTGACATCTGTATCATGCCGATATGACAGGAATAACCTCTATTGCATTTATTTATGGTCTGGGGAGTGTATGTTCATCGGCTGAGTACATTGTTGTACCTGTAATATACATAACTATCGCTGAAGGAGAACTACAGATATGTACACAAGGTACGTTTCTGTATACAAATAAGTACCCTAGCCAAAATCAAAATACAGAACCACCGCCATATAGCTGGAATATTGCTGAGTGCGGCTCAAAACTCAATTCACTCACTCACTCACTCACTCAGAATACAGAAACGTACACGGATGAACATATATATTGTTGCCATTGTCAGCATTAATTCAGTTCACTCACAGCACATGCGTGGACTCAAGGGGGCGTTCAGGTCAGTACCTGGTGAAACCACCCCTTGCAGCCGTCACTGACAACATCACCATGGGAGGAATTGCACAAATCGTCGGATTTTTGCTTGGGGAATTCTTCGCCATTCCTCCTGAAACGCGTTGGCAAGTTCTGGAAGTGTCTGAGGACGATGGTGACGTTCACGGACGCGTCGATCAAGTTCGTCCTATAGATGCTCGATCTGGTTCAGACCAGGCGATGGGTCGATGCAGGATTTGGTCGATGTAGTGATTTGCTGTAAGATTGCCTTGAACCACCACTAGCTCTGATCTACCCGTGTTGAACATGGCTACCCACACCATGACGCTTTCGTCATCAAATCTGTCCACCTGTCGAACGCAGTTAGGCGCAAAACGTTCGTGTTGACGTCAATAGACACGTTGTCTCCCATCCCTTCGTTGCAGGAGGAAACGCGAATCATCGCTGAATCAAACGCGTTCCATTAGTTCCCAAGGTTCCATGCCTGTACCCTGTTGCATCATTGGACACGTCGTTGTCGGTGTAGTCGTGTCAAGACAGGTCCAACTTTTGGTCGATATGCTCGAATTGCCACTTCTCTCAGACGATTTCTGATGTTTTGGTCGGAAATTCTTCGAAGACAAGGTACCTGTCCTGCAGTGTCCGTTGCTAAAGCAAATAGGTGACATGAGTGAAACACCCGGATGTCTCGGTCCTAAGCAGGAGTGGTCACTCTTGGTCTTCGACTTTTGGGACGATCTTGGGTCGAATTGAAGCGGGTATATCGATGCCATAATCGAGATATGGTGCTGAGGTGGACGTTGAAGTGTCTTGCAACGACAGACTGGGACTCTGTAGCATTCAATCTTGGCATTTTGGATCTTCGTTCATGTCGCAAATTTCGTAATGAAAAGATGAATTTGGTTTGGCATTTGATAGTCGACGTCTCTACTCATGTGTCCGACACATTGCACGGGCATTACGTGGAAAACCTTTTCTGCGTGCACATTTCATGTATCGTTTTCATTTTTTATGACAAACGTTTACAAACACATTTTGGGATGCGTTTGCGTGCAATACACAACAACCACGACATGATTAACTGGATTCAAACATAGAAATTGTCTCAATGACGATTGCTGTCAATATATATCGAAATGAACTGCTGAAAACGCCTATGCATTTCCTTTTTTTAAGAGTGTAGATGCATTTGACTGCGTTAGATAAGAAACAAGTATACACAGTAACAGATGCACAATACCACCTACAATCAGGCGAACGGGAACAACTAGATACGGTTGCGGGATATGGACTCGTTTAGGGTACAGTCTGTAGTACGTGTACCGACAACGACTCTTTCAGCATAACCATGAAGCAACATGAAACAAGGCGGCCTACCATCGGTTACTGGCGTATGCGATGATATACGCCGGTATCTCCACAAGAGCACTCAAGAACAGGTTCAGGAAACGATCACCGTCCAGGGTTGGCGTCAGGAATAGTACTCCAAAATACCCCAGACTGTTGGCCAAACTGAAATATAATAGCATAACTATTAATTATTGATATCATGTCACCATGTATAGGACTATAGTTAATATATTCCCGACACGGCCCTATACAACAGAGGAAGAAAAAGAATATCATATTTTGCAGTAGCTTCCATGAGAACAGATATAATACTTCAAGAACGCATACAGCGTGTTATGCTGGCTAAATGGGGCACTACAACGTTTTACGTGAAGATAGTGAAGAACGAATGTTTACTCCTTTTCTCATATTTAATTGTTTCTCGGTCAGTCACAAATATGCATATCAGTTGCATACAAAGATCACTCACAATAAAAAGAACATGATGAAACAGTAAATGTTAATCTTTGGTATGCAAAGAAGACCAAATGCTGCGAGATAGGATTCAGTAGCTTCGGGCATCACCAATCCCTCCGATTTCTCCAGCTCCGGCTTTGTCGTAGACCATTCTCGATCAAGGCCATGCTCCCGAACGCCAACTGAACCCTCCGCCGTGGAGGATGTCCCCTGGGCTACATCTTCAAGCTTGCGGCGGATATCAATAGGTAGAGCGATCTTGTTCATCTTGGCAGCACGGTGGAGCACTGACTCGGCCTCATCCACCTTTTTCTTTGAGACCAACCAGGGAACGGACTCCGATAATAACCTGATGAGAGATCATAACATTGACATGGGTAGTCATTGTTGTTATACCGGAGTCAGTAATATATATACATTAGTTTCTGTAAACACTCGCAAGGTTAGAAAAGAAATCTAACAAGAAACCTAGAACAATGTATTTATAGTGCATGGTATCTCAGTGTGCTAGCACTATAAAACCAGCTTAAGTCGGGGCTAGTGCAAGCAGCCGCACATACACATACACACGCATGCACGTCGTCATATGAGCGCAATATTCTCAAGCACGACGTTAAACCCAATTTCACCTCACCACCTTAACTAAGAAAGTGTAATTCCAAATACAACATATGTTACATTTGACCACTTTGTAAATGGCGTTGTGTTTTCGCGGATTATCATTGTCCAGGCAAACGCTAATTGTCTCACCATATGCAGCCAATACTGAGGAGGTTGGGCAGCGAGATGAGCATTTCAAGATGGCGCCAGTTTCTCACCAGGTAGCCAAATAAAGCCAGCAACATTATGCCCATAGCCCAAAAGAACTGGACACTGACAGCGGGCAAGAGACGATGTGTTGAGGCGAAGGTTTCGTTGAGTAATACAGACACACACAGAGCAATTGTCTGAAACATACAGATTATTGTAGTAATTGTCAGAAGTTCATTGAAGTAAATTTAGCTTTGGGTTTGACTTGGGTTTTCATAGCACTCCTAATTCAGATAACAATCATGATGAACCTCATTATATTCTGTCCAAGCAAAATGATGCCACCTTCGTCGATTATTGTGTTTCCACTTTGATATATCAATACTTTGTACGCTACCACAACTTTTTGAAAGAGATGTCATCAGAACCACAGTTAATGTCACTAACATAACGAATATTAGGAGCTTGATATCAACAACCAATGAAAATGGCTCTTCTGACAGAACAAATCAATAATTGAGGCCTCATCCTAATTTATTTAAAAGACTGTCACTAAAGATCTCTCGTTCTTATGTCACAAGACTGTCCATTTTTAGGGTCTTGTCAATTAGACTGGTGGTCTCAAAGCTACGGTGGCGAATGGGTCCACGGTATATATCATCATAGAATGGACATGGCAGGAGATGTCAGCAAACTGTCGCCTTCTCAGCTACCCAACATACGTTTGGGCTCCTTTTCTCTCTTTTTAAATATTTTTAAACAGTCGAAACACACATTAATCTCCAGCACTTGTTTGGCGCCCTCCAAATACAACTGTCACAACTTACCATGTTCAAGAGTCCGATGAAGAATCTGACAACTGTGTACGTGATGAGGTCTGTCACCCAGGCCAAGCCGAAGCCTAAAACAGCCTGGGCCCACAGACAGGCCAGCATGACAGTCTTCCTCCCAAACACATCAGACAGCGGGGAGAGGAACAAGGCTCCACAGGTAGTGCCTACCATGTAGATGGTAGTGGACAGCTCCACGAGGTACTCCTTGTCGCACACCAAGTTCCACTGACAACACAGACATACACCGAACATTACGACAGAGAATAACGACACGTGTACACTGGCAATATGTGTTTAAACTGGCACTCTTTGAGGCCACTGTGAGGTAACAGGGATACATCACGGCGGAGGCATCAGAAATGGGCTTCACACATTGTACACATGTGAAGAATAGAACCCGGGTCTCCAGCGTGACGAGCGACCGCTTTAACCACTTGGCTACCCCCACCGCCACTGTATGTGAGGTAACAGCTAGGGTCATCGTGGGAGTATGTTTAGCATCACTCAGGTATTGCCTTCCTTCCTGCTATAATTATATAAAACCATTGGATAATTCAGCGAGTAGTGATATCACTTAGCAAGTAGTTATATTTGCTTGACAACGATACAAGAATCTGTATCGAAACGTCGCATCACCTGAATAAAGAAGTTGTTTATCCATGAAGTTTGTCCTTATCTGATTCACCAACTTCTCAATATGCCACTCAAGGAAGGTAATATTCCTATTCTTTTGAACCCAGGAATCTTTCTCCTTGTCTACCCCACATTCGACCCGGACGATCTGTGAAGTCTTCACCATATTCTTATTCATGGGGGGAAACGTTCTGGAACCCAGTCCTGATCTGAGGGCCCACTTGCACAGAGCAATCTTAGTTACAATCAATCTTAGGGCCTTACAATCAACTTTACAATCACCATACAATTGCCCTAATCCACTTGCACAAAGCCGATCTTAGCGCGATTGTAAGACCGCATGGATTTAAGATCGCGATCTTAGCTAAGATCGCACTCTTCAACGGTGGAGGTGCGAATTTCTTAAACTCGACTCCTGTCTACAGTTGTCTGCAAGTGCGCATAGCATACTGCGCAAATAGAGAGTAATACTGGTCCCTGCACACAATACATACCTCCCTCAATCGCACTTTGCAGAATTTTCATGACAAACATTCCAAGAAATCTTCGAAGGAAACGATTACGTGGACGATAGCATATATTTTTCTACATTTTAACTGTCTTGATTTATGAATTGAGAATGTGATATTTCAACCACGGAAATACCTACCCATGTTTTATGAAAATATTGAACTGCGAAAAAATACATTCATAAATTTGGGTCTAGATTTAGTGACTTAATAATTATGAAAATTATAATAATATATCAAATATCGACAATGTTTACTTATGATATAACACCTAAATGCATGATTTGCCACTGGTTGTCAATGAGACATTGTTTAATGCACAGCTGTTTCTTTTCCTTTTTTTTTTTTTTTGTGTGTGTAAAATCAAAAATATACCCTTGAAGTATTGGTTTTCTCACAATATAACCAGAAAATGTAACAGCGTCAGGATGTAGTTATTGTAGTGACAAGAACCACAAAGCCACTGGGGTGTGAGGCGGATGGACTTTTATTACAAGAATGTAATAAACAAAAGCTTTAGCCAGGTTGGTATGACCTGAGCTCTTGCATTCAATGCATAGGTGATACTGCTGGTGTTTACGTCATCTTATATACATGGAAAAACACAGTCCAGATCACCATGATCTTGATCCTAAAGACTAAACCGCAACATGCGCGATGACAACCACATAAGATACTGACCAAGAGACTAGATGAAATTAACCTTTAAATACCTAATACCTTATACGCTTGGCTGAACAGAGAACAATAGAAATTACGCACTAGCCTGAGCAAGGGACAAGCTTTAGAAGGGATTGCAGGGAGAAAAGCATGCAGTGCAAATGAGTTTTGCTGAAATAGATTACATTTAAGATTAGATTGATGTTTAGAAGGGCTAAAGGTGTGATATAAAATGTTGAATATAAAATTATTGATAAAATGATTAGACTTGGGTTATTTAATGAGATTGTATATCTCATCATAATGACACACAACTTTAAAAGATTCACATGTTTATTATATTTACAACTATATACAATACAAAGTTGAATCTGCCACATACTTCCCCCCTCCACACAAATGACGTCCCCGTCATTTACTTGAGTGAAGAAGGTTCACAACAAACTGTGACATAGCACCACCAAATTGCTCGAACACACCTGCTGAGGCCAAGCGCTCTACTAGGTCGGATCTATCGTCCTAGTCGTTGATTGTCGTCTGGCTCATGACGTAATCCCCTGAGCGCTGCCATTCCGGTGGTCTCCTCGCACGACGTGAAGTCCTTGGTGGTGGTTTAGGTGTAGGTCTGGTTCGGACTGGAGGCGAGTCAGGAGTTCTGGCTTCTCCTGCTAGGTCCTCTGGATTCGGCTCTAACTGAAGTTCTGCTTCATCCTCAAGCATTTCTTCCTTGACAGATACATCCTCTGTGCTGGGATCGTCACTGGTCCCCGGCTGATGGCCGTCACCATCAGAAGATGCGCTGCCCATCTCCTCAGTCTTCAGATCGTCACCATCCAACTGGGAGATGGAATCCTCTTCCATAGATTGTGCGCTGACAACTGTGGAATCATCAGGCTCTGTAGGAAGTTCTACTAGAAGGCTTGAAATTGACCTTATTTCGTCCTCCTCCGACACATTAGTTTCCGTTGGTTCTGTGACTGTCCTGGCCGACCTTTTTCTTGGCTTTGGTTTAGGTGGTACAGGCTTGGTCTTCTGAGAGTCGTCTGGCAAAGATCCGATGGGTAGAAGCAGGTTCCGGTGTAGGGTCCGAGACCTTCCTTCCCCTCGTTCTTTCTTCACAACAAACACCGGGATGTCCGTGTTAGGCTGAGAAACAACGATGTACGGCTCCTCTTCCCACTTATCAGAAAGTTTGTGCTTGCCATCGAAAGCTAGGATCTTCACCAGAACATGCTCTCCAGGCTGTAATGTAGCTCCCCTGACCTTGACATCATAACCTGCCTTCTGATGTTCCTGGGAATCCTTAGATGCTCTGGTTGCAATTTTGTAGGACTCCTCCAGTCTTGTCCTTAGAGCCTGAACGTAGGAGGTCAAACTGTTATGTTCCTTGTTTAGCTCTATTCCGAAGGCAAGATCAATTGGTAGTCTGGGTTCCCTTCCGAACATGAGATAAAAAGGGGAGTAGCCTGTGGACTCATGTCTTGTGGCATTGTAGGCATGGACGAGAGGTGCAACAAATGATTTCCAGTCTTGTTTCTGTTCTGGCTTGAGGGTTCCCAACATGTTGAGCAAGGTTCTGTTGTAACGCTCGGTCATGCCGTTCCCCATAGGATGGTAGGGAGTAGTCCTTGATTGGGCGATTCCGAGTGTAGCACAGAGCTCTTTCATCATCCTGCTCATGAAGTTGGCTCCTTGGTCACTGTGGATCCTCATGGGCATACCATAATGCATCACGAAGTGCTTGTAAAATGCGTCGGCTGTGGTCTTGGCAGTTGTATTCTTAGTGGGGACAGCCAAAGCATATCTTGTAAAGTGGTCTGTGATCACTAGGATGTGCTGGAATCCACCCTTGGAAGTCTCCAACGTAAGGAAGTCCATGCAGACTAATTCCAAAGGCTGTGAGGTAGTGATGGAGACTAACGGAGCTCGGATGTTGGTTGGTGTCTTCCTCCTCAAGCATCTGTTGCAGGTTCTTATCCAGTCTTCAGTGTCCGCTTGCATTCCTGGCCAGTAGAAACGGTCCCTGAGCAGTGAGAGAGTTCTGTCACGTCCTGGGTGTCCCACGGCGTTATGAAGGCCTTGCAGTGCATCATGGATGAACCTTGATGGAAGTACAAGTTGTAATTTTGTCTCTCCATCCATGTTGATTCGCCGATGTAGGATTCCTTTTTCGAGTACAAGTGAGTTGAAGGACCTGAATAGTGATGTGTTGGCCATCGTGCTCGGAAATTCCTGTCTGTGTGGCTTCCTCTTCATCCTGACAGCTTGGATCCATGGCTTAAGAGTAGAGTCTTCGGCTTGGGCCATGCGCCAATCCCTCTCAGTCATTCCTTTCAGATCTGTTGACTTGGTGGACATCTCTTCGTCAACCGATGCTGCTGAGAGGCAGAGTGATTCCACGTAAGGCTGGGCATGAATAACTCCACAGATTGCCTTGACTGAGTCCATGGATAGCTGTTCCGAGGAAAGCTGCTGGTATTCTGGGAGCCTTGACAAAGTATCCGCATCCGTGTTCTTCAATCCCGGTCTGTAGAATATGTTGAAGTCATAGGCTCCAAGTGCTGCTAGCCATCTGTGGCCTGTGGCATCCAACTTGGCACTTGTAAGGACGTAAGTCAGCGGGTTGTTGTCTGTGAGAACAGTAAACTTCGCTCCATACAGGTAGTCGTGGAACTTCTCACATCGGCCCACTTGAGTGCAAGGAATTCAAGACGATGTGCCGAGTAGTTTCTTTCAGACTTCCCTAGTCCTCGACTTGCATAGCTGATTACCTTCTTGACACCATTCTGTTCCTGATACAGTACAGCGCCGATTCCCTTTCCACTGGCATCTGTGTGAAGTTCAAATGGTGTCCCGTAGTTAGGGTACGCTAAGACTGGCGGTGAAGTTAGCATTTCTTTTAGATGGTTGAAAGCTTGTTCTTGTTCCTCCCCCCCCAGTGCCATGGTTCCCCTGAAGGTTTCTTTGATTTCTTGGATTTCCCATGAGGCATCAGTGCTGAGAGTGGCTTGGCTATCTTGGCGAAGTCTTTTACAAATTTTCGGTAGTAGCCCGCAAAACCAAGGAACTGTCGTACGTCAGTTGGACTTGATGGTCGTGGCCAATTCAGTACTCTCTCGACCTTGTCTGGATCCGCCATAATACCTTCCTCTGAAACGATGTGGCCAAGGAACTTGATTTTCTTCTTGAAGAAGGAACACTTGTCAGGAGAGAGCTTGAGGCCAGTTTCTCTAATTCGCTGAAATACCTGCTTCAGTCTATCCAGCTGCTCTTCAAATGATGATGAGAAGATGATAATATCGTCTAGGTAGATGAGGCAGATTTTCAGGTGAAGTCCCTCAAAACACTCGTTCATGAGCCGTTGATACGTGGCTGGGCTGTTACAAAGTCCAAAGGGCATTCTGTTGTACTCATAGAAGCCTA